TCCTGGTTTTTCACTATGTGCTTCTATAGCACCAAAAACTAATCATATCGTGTCAGTCCTTCAACATTGACATTATGTATTTTCAAGCCAGAAAATTTATATAGTCATCTTATTTTTAATTATCTAAACTTTTAATTTTTTGGGTTTAATAAAAGTTTACGCATCTTAAAACTACTTGATATATAAATTCTTATAATATAATTTATTAACATTAACATTTGGATATGAAGCTTTTTCTTGGATATTAGGTAAATCAAAACGTAATATTGGTTCAACTAATACAAGTGCCGAAAGCACAAACGATAATCAAATATTCAACTGCACAGGAAATTCAATTAACCATATCGAATTAGAGGCTGATATGGACCTTAATCTTTGACATCCAACAATTGGGCAAAGACGGTAAATATAAAATTATTATGTATTTATTTGAGATAATTATTTTTTTTATTGTTATATAACAGATCCCTACGTTTTATAGTTATTTTGCCTGTTCTAATATGCTTCATTTGTACAATCTTAAGCATTTTGATTTTGTTTCAAATTTACACATAACAATTGCAAATGAAATGTAATCATACGTTTTAAAAAAAAATAATGAGTTACCAAAAAATTTTAGCAAAAAAAAAATAGTTTACAAAACAAAAAACTTGACTAAGTTAAATCATTAAATTGAAAATAGAATTATCTATGCTTGAGTTTTTCTAAAATTAAAAACTTTAAGAAATAAAATTTTTTTAGCTGTTGGAAACTTCTACAATAATGAGAAATTTCTGACATTATTGATACATATTACAAATATTAAAAAATAGTGTAGTGGCAAACATAATGACATAAAGTCATACAATGTGTTATAACTTTAAGCTCTATTATAAGCGTAATCATTATGCATTTCCTAGAAAAAATAATTTTGTAAATCCTGGTGCGGGCTTGCAAACTCGACTGTGAGTCACGTACCGTGATTGTAAGCAAAACTATAAATTTGACAGTCAGATTACATGTAGGCATGTTCATGAAAATTTTTGTCAGCTCAACAGCGTATAATCAACATATTGTGAATTCAAGTTTGCTATTAAAATCTTTCATTATTAAAATATAAGTAAATACATCACTTCAAAAATTTTAATTCAAGGAAAAATCTTGATTATGAACAAATTGGAGCAAGACAGAATACAACTTAACTGACTGTCAATTTTGCAAGGTTAATAAAATAGTTTTCAATTTCAGCAATTCTTTTTATAAATTTTAAAATGAAATATTGCTTAATTTAATTAACAAAATATCTACTTTATTACATTAGCGGTTCTTGCGCAATTTTTTTTATAACAATCGTAATTATAATTTCAAATATTATTATTGGTGCTTTGTACACCTTAAGATTCAATGTATCTTGCTGATGAGAGTGTTAAGAAATATCTATACTGTACATTATTTTTAATTAAAAGTATAATAATTGGTATATATAAGAAAGTTTCGTAAATTTTATATGTGTCATATTTCTATGTGAATTATTCCAGTTTCTTTCCTAAAATATTTTAACATATTTATATTTTATTTATATATAGTTAATTAATAATAAAAAAAATAATTATGAAATAATATTAGAAAATAAATAATGTCTAGCCATTAGAATGTAATCTTTTGTAAATTAATAAAATATATAAATGCCAATATGTACCTATATGTATTCTTGTTCTTTATACTACATTTTTTATTTAAAAACAAATACTAATAAAAATAGCAAGCCTATATATGCAATGAGATTTAATAGTTGTTATTTTAATGAAATTACAAAATATTAATGATTTGAATATACTAAAATATTAAATATATTATCTGCCAAAAAAATAAAAGTTCTAGTCGGACGAATAAAATTTTTGATATAGCAAACTTTTAAGAATTTTTGTAAGTCATATTCTGATAGTTTCCATTGAACACAAAAATAAAAACTCTGTTTATACGCACATATTTTAGTAAATAACTTATCACCAAACGATGGAAAAAGGTTACAATCTAATCAACTCTGCACATAAATACGTGTATATATGGTATAAATTTTTAATTGAAACAGCCGCAGACATATCTTTTATAAAACAAAATTTCTGCACGACACATTTTATATACACAAACAGAAAATGCTTACTTAAATGAATCAACGACAATCACACAGAGACTACATGTTCTACAAAGTTAAATATTATATTGAATAAACAGATGGTAGTATCTTATATTTATAACGTTGTTAAAGAAAATTTTACCATCCATTTAAAAAGTATGTTTTGAAGGCATCTGAAGAATATGGAAAAAGATCTTTAACAAATAGTTTAAAAGCACGTAAAAGTGTATTAATCATAAATCAGAATCACAATAAAGCAATTTCCAGCGACAAGTTAGTATTTTTTCATTATAAGGCTTCAAATATATAATGGCCCTGGTATTAGAGGAAAATACTTGTTAACAAAGCTATCAATTAACTCTTATTAAGACTTTTACTGTCCTATTGTTCTTTAAAAAAACGAATTTTAAACTCCCTATATATATGTATGCATTCCCTATTATAGCATTATAATAAACCACCACAAATAAAAAAAGAAGAATAGCTGAACATAAGCACAGCGTGAAGCACAAAAATGATTTTAACTCCAAAACAGCACTAGCTTCACATTATATTAAAACAAAAATATAAAAACACCTTCAACAAGTCACGAATAGGATAAATATACAATTCCTGTATATATGTTTTTTCACATTATTCGAATTTTTTTAAAAACCGAAGTTCTTCGATTATTCGAATATTCGTATTTCAACGAAGTCTTAAAAGTTGAAAATAAATTTGTAAATTTTTGTTCTCGAAGTCTTCGAAGTTTAAGTGCAGTGAAAAACTTCGAAGACTTCAAAGACTTCGTAAGCAAAAGTTGAATTGAGAGCACAAAATTCAAACAAACGTGCATCACAAAATTATTTGAGGGATGAAACGAGGATTTCTTGTATTTCGTAAAATAACGATTAATAGGTCAGGTAAAGTTGATGCAGCAGCCCAAAGCCCACTTAAGCTCAAAGACGAAGTATCCGTCGTCTGAGTGTAACGTAGAGCACGGAGGATAACGCCTGTTTAGTTGTTCGCCACCAAAAGGCAGAGCATGATTCATCTGGAACCACTGATCTTCTATAATAGTAAATAGTAAATGTTGCTTTATGGA